GACTTTCTCACCTCCCCCTCCTGCGGCTGCCGCAGCCAAAAATGCCTCCTGAAACAACTGGTGTTCATGTGTCTGTGAATTTGGGCTATACTGGGAGGCAAGAAAATAGCACTCGGTGGATAGAAATTGTTCTGTCCATAGAAATGCTCTGGAGGATCCAAGCCTGTGTGTAACAGTGTAATTAATGCTAATGAAATAAAATCAGTTATAGTGAAAGAACCGTAAAACTAATCCTTTTCTTCCTGTGCACAAATGTAACTCAAGACCCTCAGTACACTGAAGGTGAGATGACTTTTGGGGACAGGATGATTATCTCAACTACCAATGGGATAATAATATTTTTGGTATGATCCTAAAAAACATGGGTAGCCCACCATGTTCAACTGGTCTTACCCCAAAGAACTATGTATAGGATTGCAGAAAGTGGGAAGCCCCCATAAATTAAATTAATTCCAGAAGTATAGCTGTGTTGCAGAAAACCCAAATGAAACAGGTCCTATAGTACTTTAAAGCATTTATTTGTGGACACACTGTGGCATCCACTTATGAATACATGAATTTTTATTCTCAGCAAATGCACATACACATAATACACAGCACCTAAGTACACAGGTAAAATGTTTGTAAACAGGAATTTAAAAACATAAAAAGAGCCCTGCTGGATCAGAACAATGGTCCATTAGTCCAACATCCTGTTTCCCTCAGGAGCCAACCAGATACTTCCGAAAGCAGGACATGGAGGCCAAAGTATGTCACCTCCAGGTTGTGAATTTCTGGGACAGGGTTTAGGGAAGGACCTCAACCTCCAGAGCAACCATTTTCCCATGGGAACTGATCTCTATAGGTCTGGATATCAATTGTAATTCCCACCTGGAGGATGGCAGCCTGACTCTCACCGCTGTTAACCTGCAGTAACTAACATTCAGTGGTACACTGCCTCAGAACTTGGGAGGTTTCTATTACCCACCATACATCAACTATGCTAAACCTGTTTTTCATAAATTTGTCTAAGCTTCTATTCAAGTCACCTAACCCGCTGGTCATCAGCAGTGTTCCCTCTAATTTTCCCCCCTACTGAGTGGAGCGGTTCGCATCCTGAGCAGATGATAACTGCTGTAATCTTAAAATGGGCAATGGGCAGTGCAAGACTTTTTTCAGAACTGTTGACGTAACTTCCTGTAATGTCACTTCTGGTCAAAGATCGAGACGTCCACCCCCTCCCCTTCCTATGACATCACTTACAGGCCAGAGTTCAAAACAAATCCCTCCCCTTCCAGTGACTTCACAACCATGCTAGAGTTCTGCTATATACGTCTGTTGTATGGAATGTAATTAATGTATTGAGCTTGAGTCTGACAAAGATATTGTAAACCAACAAAGGAAGTTCTGGAGGGAAGCAAAGTGATTGGTCTTTATGTACTGTATTTCATTGGACCTTATCTGACATGTGGGCGTGGCTTGCCAAGCCCAGACTGTTTAAAAAGGAGCCTGTTGCTCCATAGTTTGTCTCGTTCTGGTTCTTCTGACTTCGTGTTCAATAAAGCTGTTATCACTGTTCACCTGCTGCCTCGAGTCTCGTATCTAACGACGTCTATTTAAATAATCAAGGTTCCAATCCTCCTAACATTTTCCTGTGCAGAAATTGTTGGTAGCACCAGCTTTCTGACATATCTCACACACTACCGCACCACAGTCATGGTAAGTAAAAATATCACCCAACCTCGCCCTCTCCTTTTTTGGTTGATTTTGGAAGCTCTGTTTCAACTATCTCATTAAACCACTCACTTTTGAAATGGCTACTGCATTTTTTGGAGGAAACTGGTGGTTGGGTCAGACAAAGAGTGTTTGGACATGATGCTTGTTCTTTTTTGGGCTTCAGTTGAAAAATGCAACTGTTCCCAATTCCCACTGTTATTAACCTGTAGCAGCACACTGTCTTTGCCTATCAGGGCAACAGGAAAGCCACAGAACTGAAGTGCAACATACTAGAAAACAAAATACTGAAAAGAAAGTTCAAATGTGCTCGAGACAACAGGAAAAAAACAAAACACTGGCCTAAAACACAGAGGGTTGGGATGTGAGATCAGAAAAAATCTTGGTGTATAAAGGTACTGGGAGGAGGCCTAAATAATGTACTGAGGAGAAAATTCAACAAACACCAAAGATGATCAGGGCTAGTAGAATGTGAGCCTGCAAACAGAATGGATTGAAACTGAAGCACAGTTCTGAAAAAAGGCTGTTAAGAGAAAAATTTAAAAAATAAGCTTCACAAGAAACAGAATAAAGAGGCAAACAAATGAAAGTTCAGACTGTGAAAGCTGGCTGAAAGATGGAGGCAAGTTAGACTCCAGAACCATTCAGCAACAGCACTTCAAGTTAACAACAAGCAACACTCTTAGCCACACAAAGCTCAGACAGCAAAGCAGAAAATGGCACCCCAGAGTTATTCCAAGCCTTTTATAGTCTAGGGAAGTGACCAGATTCTATTAACTAACTAGGGTTGCCAGGTCTTACTTTCTCGCCAGCGGGAGGTGGGAGTCCTCCGGGAATGGGGGGTGGGCAATGTCGCTGTACTCAACAACCTCATCAACAACTCAAGAAGAAGATAAGAGAGGAGATTGGAATTATACCCCGCCCTTCACTACCCAAAGGTATCTCAGAGCGGTTTAAAAACTCCCTTCCCTTTCCCTCTCCACAACAGACACCCTGTGAGGTAGGTGGGGCTGAGAGAGCTCTGACAGAAACTGCTCTTTTTTCAAGAACAGCTCTTATCAGAACTATGGCTTGCCCAAGGTCATCCAGCCAGGTGCAAGTGGAGGAGTGGGGAATCAAACCTGGTTCTCCCAGATTAGAGTCCGCACACTTAACCACTACACCAAACCGCACAACAGGGATGTTGTGTGGCGACACTCTGGTATTTTGGGCAAAATTCTAAGGTTACCAGAGAGTTTAGCCCAAAATACCAGTGTCACCACACAACATCCCTGGAGTGATGACGTCACTTCCACATGTTGTCATCATGTTGGGCTAGCTGGCTGGCAGCAGGCAGGAGCCTGCAATATTGGGGAATCTCACACTCCCACCTGGGGCCTGGAAATCCTATGACTAACTTTCGCACCTTGTTTTTTGGATCACCCCCACTTCTATTTTGGGAAAGCCAGGTTTGAATCCCACTCTGCTGTGAAAGTGTTAAATAGTGGGTTCCATGGATGATCAGACCCCAAGTCTAGTGATCAGCTCCAGTTTATTAGTGATTTCAGCAAGAAGAAGAAAGACAAACTCCCAAGGCAGCAGCCCTGTTTTTAAGCATACAAATACCACACCCTTAAACACACCCCACTCCCAACGATAGGCTGTTTACATAACACTGTTTCTCTATTGGTCTACTCCAAGATCCTAGTAAGCTATTGTTTGTGGAAACAAGCTCAACCAGATGCAGGTACTAGTTTAGGGATGATTCGTACTCAGTATACAACAGAAAGCTTGCTTGGTGACCTTGAGGAAGTTATCAATAGCATACATAGGCTGCGGTCACACGTAACAGAAGCCACACAAGTGAGACGGAAAACAGCCGGAGTTTCTGGGCGCGATCTCACCAGCACATCTGGGAAGCGTAGCACTCCCGTGGCTCAACCGAGGCTTCCAGCCGAAACTGCGTGGCAAAAAACTAGTACCTTGGAGGTACTAGTTTCCGGAAACTGCGGGGCAAGGGCGGGCGTCTGATCGCGTTTCCGGTGGCATCTGGCGCCCGCCCATGTTCCCTTGCAAATAAGGTGGGGGTTTTTTGTCCAAGTCTCTATGGATGCGCATGCGCACCCAACGGAGCATGCGCATTTGTCATGTACACAAAAATAAAAAAGTTTGCCGCTGCGCGCGCGTCTTCGTTGCGCACCGGCTTGTCTTGTGATCGGCACCTCTCCCTTGCCATGGAACCTCCACGGTACCTCCACAGGACCTCCACAGGAGGTCTGATCGCGTAACTGCGCAGTAGTTTGCCCCAGGGCAAACAGCCACGCTTCTCCTCTGCAGTTTCCTGCCCGTGTGACCGGGGCCTTAGTATATTTTGCAGCCAGGGTGGATAAGGGGAAGAAACAGAGGCAGCAACAGAGAGCTGCTTCATGAAAAAGGGCAAAGGCCTCTCACAAGCTGAAGGGCTCCTTTTGTGTCTGCACAAAAGGTAAGTCTAACTCCAAAACATAGAGCCCAATGCCTGCAGGCAGCTGCACTTTGATCCTAAAACACTTGGTAAAGCTGCTTCAAGGAAAGGCATCTGGGCAGGCAGCACAGGATTGCTAAGTGCTCCAGCCAATCCCAGTTATCAGCTGCCTGCCCAGACACATCCCCTTGAAGCAGAGCTTCTACCAACCATTTTAGAATATAAGCACAGCTGTCTGCAAGCAGTGGAAGACTAGGGAAGCTATTGCACAGCCAGTAACATTTTGAGGCAAAACTTGCCCCGAGTAGCTCTAGATTGCTGCTGAGCAGGGCTTCTTGTGTTACTGAGTGGCTGCTCACTGGCACAGTTTAAAGGGAACATCACTATATGGTGAGGTGGTGAGTTCCATAGGTTAATTACATGCCATGTGAACAAGTCCTTTTTCTGCTGAATCAAGTCCCACTGAAGTTAAGGTGCAGTTATTAGTGCATACGACTAGGATGTGGTTCAGATCCCCACTCTGCCACAGAAGCTTACTGTGTGACCTTGAGCCACGTTATAAGCTGCTTTGGGTTCCCACAGAGGAGAAAAGCAAGGTATAAATATCTAAATAAATACACTTTTTGCATGTGTTTAGGATTTCAGAGAGTCTCCAGACCTTAAAACTATTAACACGTTTGTAGAATCTGACTGAATTAAACAGGAGGCATTTGAGTGCTCAAGTGTGGGAGAAGTGGCCCCTCCCACCCTCAGCTGGGGAGGTGGCACGGTAGCCAACCTCCAGGTGGCGTCTGGCGTTCTCCCAGAATTCCAACTGGGCTACAGAGATCAGTTCCGTGGAGAAAATGGCAGATTTGGAGGGCACACTATATCTGTAGCATTAGGTAAAAATAATCCCTCAAATTCTTCCTTTCACACGCTGTTCGCCCAAGTCTCCGTGAATTTACCAAACTGGAGTGAGCAACCCTAGGAAAGGAAGGCTCTCGACTGACCTCTCCTGGGAGTCAGAGCGGGACGCACCAGCCCCACAACTCACACCCATGTCCTCGCTAGCGCGCCTGCTCCTTGGAGCATTGACAGTGCGCCACGGCCGCCTGCAACCCAGGCGCCTGGCCACCTGTGCCGCCGTCGGTTCCTCGGCGTCCGCCTCTGGCATGGAGGCCCGCGTGATCTTCTCTCCCGCCGGCCGCAGCCTCTTTGACGAGCCGCTGGCCATCACGGTGGAAGGCCTGCAGCCCCAGGAGCCGGTCACGCTTCGGGCGTCACTGCGGGACGACACCGGAGAGCTCTTCGAGTCGCGTGCCCTGTATCAGGCAGACAGCCGCGGGCAGCTGGACCTCAGTCGCTCGCCGGCGCTGGAAGGCGGAAGTTTCTCCGGCTTGGAACCGATGGGGCTGCTGTGGTCGCTGAAGCCCGAGAAACCCCTCAGGCGCCTGGTGAAGCGCGACGTGCAGAGCCCCTACCTCCTGGAGGTGGAAGTGCTGGGAAGCCACAGCAAGTGCCTGGCCAAAGGCGCCCACGAGCGGGCCTTCCTGCGGGACGGCGTAAGGAGGATCCCGGTGCGAGAGGGGAGGATCCGGGCAACCCTGTTCCTACCTTCCGGTAAGTGAGGCAGTCCTGGTCCCAGCAATGCAATTTGGTCATCCTGCAACAGTGCCCCATAAGAAAGAAATGATCACACCCACTGTTAAATAGTTGTTGTTGTTCAGTCACACAGTCGAGTCCGACTCTTCGCGACCCCATGGACCAGATCTCGCCAGGCCTTCCTGTCTTCCGCCGTCCTCTGAAGTTGGCTCAATTTCATGTTCGTTGCCTCAGTGACACTGTTTAACTATCTCATCCTTTGCCGTCCCCGTCTTCTTTGACCTTCAATCTTTCCCAGCATCAGGGTCTTCTTCAGTGAGTGCTCCCTTCTCATTGGGTGGCCAAAGTATTTGATTAAATTAAAAAAACTGTTACATTAATGTAGAGTAAATTCCATGCTCTTCCCTCGTCCTCCCTTCTTGTCCTGGTTAACCCGGATTAGAATAGTTGCTTCATTCATAAACACGAGTGTGTTGAACACTTCATACAAACGTGCTTCTTGCTCAGTGTCACTCTGAGCCATTTTGATGCCTGTATCAAAATCTGACTGCTACTCTTGTCTTTCTCCTCCCCAATAGTAAAAGTATAATTAGAGAGCCAGTGTGGTGTAGTGGTTACAGTGTCAGACTACAATCTGCAAAACCCCGGTTTGAAATCCCTGCTCTGCCATGGAAGCTTGTTTCACACACACTCACCCTAACCTACTTCACAGGGTTGTTGTGAGGATAAAATGGAGAAGAGGAGAATGAAGTAAGCTGCTTTGGGTCCCCACCCTGGGGAGAGTGGCAGGGTATAAATGGAGTAAATAAAATGTGGCAATTTCATGGTGCCTAATGATTGCTCAGCCCTGACACACACACACACGCTTTATAGGCTTGCTTGCTGAATCTGAATGCTTCCTTTATAGGCTTGCCCTTTGGTTTGTGAAAAGTACGCAGACGGAGAGTGATTTCAGCTTAGTGTACTTTATTAGATCAAGAACAAGGCAACTTTAGCCGGCTCGCAGGCCGTCTTATATTTCCCATGAAACCGCCACCCATCACACACACACACACCCCACTTCCCAATAGGCTATTTACAGTGGCTGAGAGTTCCATAGGCTCTCGGCCGGGAACCTAGCCCACTGATTGGCGTGGGCTAGGATCCGCACAGTCCATTGTCTCTTTGAGCGAAGCTCAACGTTTGCACTTGACCGCTTGGAGCCCAAGCTGGCCATGTGGTCTGAACTGGATATATTACAGTTTGTTTTAGTTTTAAAACTGTCCAGCTGACAATGATCCCTGGCTCAAAAATCATCTGGCTTATCCTCGGGCAGGGACAGGGCCTTTTCAGCTCTGGCCCCAACCTGGTAGAACCCTCTGTTTAGTGAGATGTGGGTCCTGCTGGACCTGAAAGAATTGCACAGAACCTGAGATGTTCCACCTGGCATATGTTCAAGGATAGTGACATTCTGAAGAGCACTGACCTCTGTCTATGTGGCTTCCTTTCCCCTCTTACCTGTCCTCTTCTAATTGTTACCACCTGTAATATATTGGTTTTTATTATGTGCCAATATTGATTGTTTCTTTTAATATTGTAAAGTTAAATTTTTAGCTATTTGTTATGATGTAACCCACCCTGAGCCCTGCTGTGCAGGGAGGGGTGGGCTAGAAATCGAAAGCATAAATAAAAATTTTAAAACTGCACCTTAGTTTCTTGTGTAGCCTTCAATCCTTTGAATAGGCCATTTGGTTAGACTTATTGATTATGCAGGAAGCTGTTCTATTGGCCATCATTAGATTTGGATGACTGAAATCCAGAGTTTAAAGAAAGCAACGCTGCTGCTCATTATGTCTCTTATAGGTGATGGCCCTTTTCCTGGAATCATTGATATTTCTGGAACTGGAGGAGGCCTTCCTGAACATCGAGCATGTCTGATGGCCAATTACGGCTTTGCCATGCTAGCACTAGCCTATTATGCTTATGAAGATCTCCCTAAATATATGAAAGAATTCCACTTGGAGTATTTTGATGAAGCTTTAAATTATATGCTAAAGCATCCAAAGGTAAGGCCATATAGTGTTCACCTTTCATTCTCTTTCTCTGCTACATTTGACAGAGAGAGAAAGTCTTGTGCAGGCCAGCCCTAAGTATGTTCACTCAAAACTGAGAGCCAGTTTGGTGTAGTGGTTAAGTGTGCAGACTCTAATCTGGGAGAACCAGGTTTGATTCCCCACTCCTCCACTTGCACCTGCTGATGTGACCTTGGGTCAGTCACAAGCTCTGGCACAGCTGTCCTTGAAAAAGAGCAGTTTGTGTCAGAGTTCTCTCAGCCCCACCCACCTCACAGGGTGTCTCTTGTGGGGAGGGGAAGGGAAAGGAATTTGTAAGCCGCTCTGAGACTCCAAGTGAAGGGCGGGGTATAAATCCAATCTCTTCTCTTCTCTCTCTTCAAAATTAATTTCTGTTGAATTCAGTGCAGCTTACTTTCAATTCATCAAGGATCCATAGGGTGCATCCCTGGCTGTAGTAACTTTAGAGTGATGAATTAATGTTACCCAAACTGAGCTCTGGTAGTCACATGGCTTATTATGCTGTAGGAATTTTGATTATTTTTTTAATGCTAAACTCCTGAAAAACAACTGTTGTAAAAGATTAAAGACTAAAGCAGTTAATTTCTCTGCATTTTTGACAGTTAAAAGGAGACAAAGGTTAATTAAAGCTGGGAAATCTTGTGCATCCTTTGAGACAAAAGGCAGTAATAGAGAACTGTAAACTGTTCAGCTCAGAATGCTTGATCTCTGTAGTCTACCTAAGGATAGGTCGCATGGGCTTTTGCCCAGTTTATAGTAATAAGGGAGGCACAGCTAAGATTCATCTCTCTCTTTCTTTCTTTTCCCCCCTCCAGATTAAAGGTCCAGGAATTGGGCTGCTTGGACACTCTAAAGGGGGTGATTTGTGTGTCTCCATGGCGTCTTTCTTAAAGGGTATCACTGCGACAGCCACAGTAAATGGCTCTATAGCCAATGTAGGTGCCATACTTCGCTATAAGAATATCACCATTCCACCTCTTGGCTTCGATGAGAAGCGGACCAAAATAGACCAGACTGGGTTGGTTGACATTGTGGATGTCCTGAACAATCCGCTGGAAGGCCCTGACCGCCAAAGCCTTATTCCAGTGGAGAAGGCTGAGAGTCACTTTCTTTTCATTGTAGGCAAGGATGACCATAACTGGAAGAGTGAATTCTTTGCCACTGAAGCCTCCAAACGTTTGCAAGCTCATGGGAAAGAAAAACCTGAGATAATTTGCTATCCAGGAGCAGGGCATTACATTGAGCCTCCTTATTTCCCATTGTGCCCAGCTTCAATGCATCTCTTGGTGGGCAGACCAGTGATCTGGGGAGGAGAGCCCAGGGCTCATGCTGCAGCGCAGGTGGATGCTTGGCAGCAGTTGCAAACTTTCTTCCACAAATACCTCAGTGATAAACAAGATAGAAGACAGAACAAGTTATGAGAACACTGGTTACAAAACATGTTTTGGCAAATAAGGGCTGTGGGATTATTTGGCACCCACATTTGATTTCCTAAGTGAATGTTTCAAAATTTCACTGATGAGTGAAAAGTAAATGTAATAGTTGATCTCTATCTTCAAATGAGTATGAAGCAATTCGATCAATACCTTTGTTCTCTGAACTTTGGTACCTAATGGAGTCCCCAGTCATAAAACAACAGAGTGCTTGGATTGATAGAAGCATGCAGTATTTCTTCTGAGGAGGATCTAGAAATGGGCTGATGGCTCTGGTTAAGATAAACAATAAAGAATTCAGGTATTTATAATATAGATAGACTATCCTTTCTTGCCTTGTTCTCATATTCCTTATTGTTCCAGGTTATATTGAAGGTTTCACAACTATATCAACAGTACTTTAAGGATGGGCTGTTATTTATATGATTCATTTTATTAAAATGGTTACAATTAAGAATACTAACAAAACCTGTTCTTGAGCTAGAAATTTGGGTTACAACAAAACATTTTGCAAATCCAAAATTGTATGGTGCTAACTCAGGTTTGTATGCTGGTGATTTTAAAAAATGCTTGTGAACGGGCATGAGCTACACGTTTCTCAGTAAAGGTAATGCTACATATTTGCTGCTGCTTTGTTTTTGTAATGTCCTTTGTTTTCTAATGTATGTTGAAGTGTATAAATATCTATTGAACTGATATAGAAAATTTCATTTAAGAAATTTGTCTGGTGCAAGAACATATGAAAGCAGTGAAAGGAGACAGCATATTATGTGGCTTTCCTAACTTCCTGCCAGAACTTTCTTATCCAGCAATAGACAGGTTAAGCTACCTTCATGCAACATTTCATCCTAGAAGAAGTGGGAAAAATTTGTCTATTATAATGTAGTAAAATTTAGATGAGGTGAACTCAGATGAAGATCAAACAGGGAAGTGAGGGATTTTGTTTGCTGGAGAGAATGCTTTGAAGTGAGTAGGCTGGTGAAGAGAAAAGGAGGCTGTGAGTGAGAAGGAACCCCAGCAAGTCAGCCATGTCACCACTACACCATCAACAATGGATTATTGCAGTCAAGAGCCTGCAGCTTGAGGAGCCAAGTGCCAAGTAATGGAAGAGTTGAGATGGAAGGGAGCCATCTAGACAAGCCTGGCTAGTGTGGGAGCCGGGCCTGTAGCTATGGTGGGGCTATTTGTGGCTCTGCCCCCTTTCTTTAAGGGACAGCTTCACAAGAGTTTCTCCTGTAAAAGCTTCTAAAAGTCATTGTTAAAAAGCCTGCTCCAGCTCTGCAGCACCTTCTTGCTTGGCTTGTAAAGAGTCAGGACAGTTTGGAGATGCTGGTTTGCAGAGGAAAAAAAGCCTCCCCCCCCAGCATGTCCCACAGCTTCTACTGCTGCTCCCACCCCCCCTCCCATCTCAACTCCTGGGCCGCCAAGGAGTGGTGGGGTGAGGAGATTGCAGGGAGCTGGGTTTATTTTTTTAACTGTAAAATTCAAGCCCCACCCCCCCAAAATTTGCCCCACAAGCCACAAAATCCTTGCTTATGGGCCTGATGGAAGCACCTAATGAAACAAAAAAAGTAGCAGATGGAAGAACTTAAAAAATGCCAGGACCACCATCTTAAAGGAAAAGCACATAAAAACTGAGCAAATCTCTAATAGTTTTTTTTTATTTGAGACATAGGAGGGAAGTTAAGAAAGCTATCATTTAATTATTTATAGTTGCATAGTCAATTTAATTATAAATGTCAGATTAATTTGTCAGGATTTGTTTATCCAAGCTTTTATTAATTCTGTTAAGGTGCCATATTAGTGTTTGTCACATCACAACTCTCAGGGCTGAGTACTTCAGAGCACTTCAGAAAAGTATCCATATTAACATGTTCAGGACTGGAGCCTTAGTAAGACCTGGTAAATCAAGATCTGAATGTGAAGAATCGATCCTGGGACACTTTGGTTCAGTGGAAGCAAGAACACAACATGTATAATTTCTCTGCTATCGCAGAGGACAACTCCTCCCACACTCTATTCACCAATAACAGCACACTTGTCTCCCTCACTCTCCTTCCAGCACTGCACTCAAACCAAACATTTAAAGATACACACACACTAAAACAAGCAATCAATACAGAAGGGTTGAAGGACCTGGGTATGTTTAGCCTGGAGAGGAGACACCTGAGGGGTGATATGAAAACCATCGTCACGTACTTGAAGGGCTGTCATATTGAGGATGGTATGGAGTTGTTTTCTGTTGCCCTGGAAAATCGGACCCGAACCAACGGGATGAAATTAAATCAGAAGAGTTTTTGGCTAAACATTCCTGAAAGAGCAGCTCCTCAGTGGAACAGGGTTCCTCAAGAGGTGGTGGGCTCTCCTTCTTTGGAGGGTTTCAGACAGAGGCTAGATGGCCATTCTGTGAACTTAAGCAGATCATGAGAGGGAGAGAGAGAGGGAGAGAGAGAGAACGAACACACACCATGGACAGAATGGTGCTTTTTAAAGAATAATCTTATAAAGAATCTTATGTTACACAACATAAATCTGTAGAAATGATAACCAGCAAAGAAAAATTACATAGATTAACAATTTACCTATCTAACTCTGATACCTCAACCAACTACATTTAATCCTTTGGAAGCCAGTGACGACAGTGTGGTGTTTTTGGAGGGAATACACATATTGCAGTTTATTACTTAAATAAGGGAAGGGAAAGATAAGGTGGCATATTACACAGCCTCTGAAGAACTAACAGTATAGTCCTGAACAAAGCTGCACCCCTCTAAGCCCATTGACTTCCATAGACTTAGCTAGGTATAACTGTTTAGGATTGCACTGTAAATAAAAGGCTGCTATTGGAAGTGTGAATGTCCAGGAGGAAGGAGACAGCCATGCTGACATCTGTCCTTTAAAAAGGCTAAATGAGCTCTCATGAGCAAGAAATAAAACAGAAAGCTCACAAAATGACACAGACATAGATCGTACCACTCATACTGTAAGCACTTTTTAGTACCTGCCTTTGACACCCACAAAGCCAGGCTCTAACACAGCAGCCATTGCTGCTGAGGAAGATCCAAAATACTGTGTTTGGACACTTGAAAAGTGTGCAGTCTATGTGACATAAGCACTGCCTCGAGGGAAGATAGCTGGATGCCTTCACTGTGTATGAAAAAAAGAGATTGTGGGGAAAACCCTTATATTCAAAAGGGGCTGAAGATGTCATATGTTTCTTTAGATACCATCTACTGCCTCTTTAATTGTAACTATCAACACAGAGTGCATTTTACCTGGGTTTTCTTTATCTTAAAAAAACATTCATAGTACTGAGGCTCCAGATGGAAACAGATGAGAAACTATCACCGCTCAGGTGAACTGCATGCTCCATAATGTTAAACCGGACTGTAATCCTTTACTCATCCCTGTGGGTGGTTGAGCTAATCCTGTCAGCATGGATTATACCACTGTAAAAGCCCCATGTATTATAGTGTCTTTAAAGAATAGAGATTAGGGATATTAAACACTAACACATTTATTGTGGTATATTGAACACATCTGATAGTCTGATAAAATTTGCTTGTTTAACAACATATATATTATAACGGTTCAACCGAAAATATTACACTGCAGACCCTCCAAGTTACAGTGGTGACACCTGGGTAGATTTAAACCCGTTCTTCTGTTTGAAAAATGAACCCATGCTCCTGAGTTTCAGGAGATTCACACAACCCAGTTTGTTATATGAATCAAAAATTGGAAGAGTACTGATTTTCCATTTCTCTCTCGCTTTAATTGTGTACACACGTTACAATGGCTGTGCCTGTATGCATCCTGCATGTACACATCTGCTTGAAAAGCCCTTTTTAGGCATCACTTTAATGCTCCTGTCTGGCATAACGAGAGCGAGCGCTAAGCAAGCCAAAGCATTAGAAAAATAAAAACGGAGACCAGTACCTGGATAAATGTGGGTTTAGCTGTGTTTACACTGAATGTGACATAAACATTATTCGACGTGCACATAAAGAAAAATGAGGCATAGTGTATACGCATTGTAGTGCGTTCCTTGTACTGCGGGTGCAGCAGTCTCGTTACCGATTAGACAAGGGGAATAGATAGTATTTTTAACACTACTTAGGCCACGCGTCTGTATGTTTCAAAGCAGCCAGCCGCCCTCCCCCTTTTGAATCGTGCTCTTGGAGCTCGACTAATGCTGCCTTTAGCGATCTCACGTGAAGTTGTAGGCGGAGCCGAAGCCGCGGCCTTTCCTCAGTTGCGTCGCTCTTCAGAGCGGCACGGCTAGTCAAGCCGAATTGCTCGGCATGTGGCGGGGGGCCGCAACTAGAGCTTGGGACGCCTGCCTGGAGCGCATCGGGGGGGTCTCCCCCAAATACTGCAACAGGAGGGGTGTAGCGACAGTGTCAGTCAACCCTGCAGCTGGCTTGGCTGATCAGCCGGCGAAGATAGCGGTCTGGGGGCTAGCGCCTTCGCAGGAAGTGACCCTTAGAGCGCTCGTGGTGGATGGCCATGGCAGCCTCTTTGATTCCTGTGCCCACTATCAGGCGGATACTCAGGGAAAGGTAGATGTGTCCAAAGATTCGTCTCAGGGAGGAGACTATACTGGAGTGGAGCCCATGGGGCTATTTTGGACCCTCTCCCCTGCTGCGATGGAGAAACCTTACCACAGGCTGGACCCCGGGCAGGTGAAAACTCCCATGAAAGTGGACGTGTCTGTGCACCAGGGTTACAGCCCGCCTGCCGCCCTGCCTGGCCGCATACTTGCCAGAGCCAGCATGGAAAGGTGGTTCACCCTTTCCGAAGTGCGAAGGATTAGGCTGAAGGAAGGTGTAGTGAGAGGCAGTTTGTTCCTCCCCCCAGGTGAGTGGGGTAGCCTTTGCATGGTGGCTGTGTGATATACCCTCTCACATAAATGGCACAAATCCTGCAAGTCTTTTGAGCCATACACACACTCTGAAGAAGAAATGCAAGTTTGGGGGGGATGACAGTGGCTCTTTACTATTTATTTACATCCCACAATCTCCTCCTTTTCATAATTCAAAAGAAATACAAAACACAGAACATCCTGTCAGTTCGTGACGATATATCATACAATATACATAATAAGCTTTAAATCATACAAAAACAAAAAGAAGGGTGTCTCAGATATATCCTTATATCAATAGAAAAAGTAACAAAATCCAAATCTTAATACGTACATTACTATATCCAACTTTCTCAAATATTGGTTCCAAATACTACTATGTTCTCTAAGTTGGAGGAAACTGCGCCATCAAAATACTTGGAAATCATCTTTACCTTCCAAGCTATGAAAAAGAAGCAGAAATTGAACATTGTACTCTTCATATACTCATTCCTTTTCAGCTGTCCTCACAATTCATGGAGCCACAATGATAGAGTCAGCTGCAGAAACTACATCAGTGGGAAGCATTAAAAAATATTTTAAATTGTTGGTCCACAGACAAGGCTAGTTACACCTGACTTGTGATCCTAAAAATTATGCCGGGATAAAAGTGACTTGCCAGGATTTTATCTGATGGTATTGTTTAAATTGGCAGTGCAAGAACTGGGACATATTTTAAAAACTTCCTAGGCAGTGGACTGTTGGACTTTTTAAACATGATTAATCAAACAATATTTAATACTATATAAAGCTGTTATAATGAGATCATTGGTTCATCTGACCCAGTGCTGTCTATTCTGATTTATTTACGTTATGTGTATAGTCCCCCTTTCTCACTTGAACTCAAGGCAGATTACAGAGAGTGAGTCAATACAATTGACAGGATGGCACATTTAATAAACAGTGCCAATAGGAATAGGGATGTAGAATCAACCAGAAGTCTAAAAACAACTGAAGCAACGTATAAATATTAAGAGAACACATTATGGGTGCAGTCAGATGGTGTGCTGAGAGCGGGTTAGAGTCTGCACTCATAACCACTACACCAAACTGGTACAAATACAATAAATAAGTAATGGATAAAATTATTTAGAAACATAATCACAATATCAGTCAAATAGGGCACTTTCGAACTTTTAATTAGCTTCTGTCAGGTTACTGTCTTTAGGAAATACCCATGTCATGTTCATGCATGCACACACTGTCTTCTGTAATGAGGGATGATAAATAGTAACAGCAACTAGTGGAAAAACTTTTAAATACTCACTGAACATGTAAAATTAAGATGATATACTTCCCCAGTTTTATTACTGTCTCACACAAGTGTGCCTAAATCAGATCCCAAATGACTAGGAAATTTCCCTATTGGGAAAAAAAAACCCCAGAAAACCCAGATCCCCAGTTGTAAAGGGGGTAATTATGGGGGAGGGATACATAACTCCATGATAAATCACATGCTTTGCATGCATAAGGTTCCCAGTTCAATCTACAACATCTCCTAGACCTAGGTCAGAAAGGACACCTGAGTCAATTTGCCAATGTGCAAATTGGTAAAATCAACAACTGCCTATACATGTGCCTTCTCAGTTTGGCCCCCACCTTATGAAATGGCCTGTCTGGGGAGGTCAAGAAGGCTCCTACTCTCATGGCATTCCACAAACTGTGCAAAACTGAATTATTCAAGAGGGCATTTCTGCACAGACAGTAGAGTTACACTGTACTAAATGATTCACAAAGGCACATGGATAAATTATTAGGAACTGTGGTTTCTATACTGCTATACTGGCTGAAACTAGGATCCTGCTATGGAATTTTGCAGACGCGCCGTTTGATCTGGTATCGTCACGCTTCAGCAACAGATTTCGTATGTACGATCACACAGTCAACATCTGCCTCCTGTCCCCAGCTGTTGGTTTCCGGCTCAAAACCGCTTTAACCCGGAGTATTTTGTTACCAGGTCCCAAAGTGGGGTTTTCTCAGCTCTCCCGTTTAAAGCCACATTTTCCCCCTGTGTGATTGCTCCTCCGGTGGCAAGCCACTTCCAGCTTAAACCCCTTCCCCGCTCGAATGCTGCCCAAGGCTTCCGCTTTTCGCCCACCACTTTTTTAATGCGTTGGCAGTGTGCACATAGGCAGAGCTCCGCTACCGTGTTTAGAAAACCGACGGTCACTTGTTTTAGAGTTTAGATGAGTTCAGAATCTCACGGAGGCCATTTTCAGGTCAAACTTTTAAAGGGAAGTCTTTTGTTGGAGGGATTGGATTGATTCACCTGGTGGTTCTGCGCATGCGCCATGATAGTTTCCCCCCTATTCTACGGAGG